TACTGGGAAAGTGTGGAATTACAGGCAGAGATCTATGTGGTACTAGGGAGACTGTCTAGGGAAGTGGCTGAGTCACCAAACCTAGAATTATATAAAACACATGTAGATGTTGCACCTGGGGATATGGTTTAGTGGTGGACTTGGCAGTGCTTGGTTAATGATGAGACTCAGTGATCTAAAGGTTTTTTCCATAGAAACAATTCAATTACACTGTGATTCTAAGTCTCAAAAAAGTGTAAACCACTGGCATTTATTTCATAGAGTGAAGAGGCTGGGGGTGCACCATCCAGACATTTGGCACAACATTATATTCTTTATTCTACACTCAACAAAAAGAGGACACTTGCCTCACTACACTTCTCTCACTTCCCATGGACATCATAAATGCCTAATATTAGCAACCTGTTCCTCCAAAGCTGTCATGACTTTTACCTGCCCTGGGAAGCCCTTTAAGTTTACCCTACACTTCATAATCTCTGCTCACACCAGAATGTAATTGCATTTAGATAAATGTACACTAATTTTGCAGTTACTTCCCAATAATTTATGATTTTGACTGCCAGCGCATAAGGACACTGATTTTTATTCACGAAAATATTTTAGGTGGTCATTTCTGGAGCCACAAATTCCAGTAAATTTCAGGGGGAAAAAAATCATGCCTTTTCACAATATTTAAATGCTTTATCTGGTTGATCAGGAAATATTGACATTAAATCTTTAGAAACTCTTTATTTAATTCAACATAAAACAAATTTAATTTTGTTTAAAATAGTTCAAGCTGGGAAAAATTGAACTGTAAACATGTACTGTTCCCATCACTACATAATGGGAATCTAGCTGGGGAGATTTTTTTAGAAATATGAAATATACAGATCTGATATTCTAATCACCTTATTGTCATAAGGAATAAATGCCATGAGTTGTGTGATCAAAGCATTATACAAGACTGTCTGCATTTGTATTTAACATAATTGAGGCTTAAGAATGTTCTTTAAAGGAACAAAGGTCACCTTTTATTTTGAAACATCATTAGATCACTGGGATCATATGTTAATGTCACCACATCTGTTAAAGCAAAAGGGGTATTATTTACTGTACTCCTCTTGGAATTCTAGATCTTTTTATAAGAATGGAGAATGGGAGCTTGGCTAGTGATTCTTGAAAGATCTAGCAAGCTTGACTTAGTAAAAAAAAGCTGTTCTCATTTTCTCATCGTACTTTTCTCCTTTGTATTTTGATGCTAGGTATTCCTTTTATGGGTTGGGGTTTTGTTTGTTTGGTTGGTTGGTTGGTTTTTGTTAGTTTTGTTTATTTTTGGGGGGGAGGATTTTTTGGTTTGTTTTGGTTTTGGGGTTTTTTCTGTTAGTGCATAATAGTTTTCCTACTACAAGTATTCATATAATAAAAAGTGGTTTCAAATTTTCATTACAAAGAGTCATCCTAGACAAATTATGTCTTTGATCTGTCCTGTTCTTTTGAGTTGGTATGCTCAAATTCTTGGATGTCATACCTGAAATCAGCCAACATGTTCTACATCAAACTAGTATTTAAAATATGTAAACCTCTTCACCTCTTCCCCACGACTTTTATGCTGAAGTAGCTCTATCGACAGTGTTTTGGGAGCTTCCCATTCTGAACACACACATGACATTCACAGAACTGACATTGATTACATTAGCTTTGGAAAAGTACCAAACACAAATTGCAAATGTCCTGTGGGAACTGCAGATTCTGTTCCCTCAGGAACTGAGCAGTATGAGCAATATAATTGCAAAACAAATAACTACAATTTCTATTTCTTTCAGAATATGAAAACAAAATAACCAGGTGGCACTCACACCACTGTTTTTCTAGGGCTGCCTAGCCATGTAGACAGGCATATAGTTAATTTGTGCCTAACTTGTCCAAAAATTTTTTCAGAGCTTCAGTGACCACACAGTTTTAAAGTGCCTGCTACATTTCTCCATGTCACCTAGCTTAAACCTGTAGCCCTACAAAAATCCAAGTGTAAAAAGAGCAGTTTAGGATTTATTCAGAGCCACCTGAACTCTTCTTAGGCCCCCAGGAGAATTCTGCAAACATTAGTCACAGTGAACACCATGACTATTTATTTGATGTGATGCTGACGCTGATCCCATTACCTTATATTATCTAATGTTATAAAAACTGGAGAACCAATTACAGAGATAGACAACATGTGAAACTTCAGTCTCATTATCCTCAAAAGGTTTAAACCATCTTAAAATTTCAAGTCATGAGACACTGAGAGTGCACTGAGAGTAAGATTCAGTGCTCTTTTACTGAAGATTAACCATTGTGCACCCAGGCATATAACAAGATGGGGCAGATATTAAGAAAACCAGAGGGACTCTAATTTTAGGATAGGATTTATGTACAGAGAGGATGAACAAAAATTCAAATCCCTGCAATGTATATTTATTTTACACTGAACAAGTATGTATATAAGTATATATATTTTACATTGACCCAACAAACCAACCAACCAACAAACAAGCAAACAAACTACAGAATCCAAACCCAAAATAAGTAACCAAAACAAAACAAAACAAAAAAAATCGCTACTTTATTGCAGGATTGTTTTTTTGACCCATCAGAGCCTTGGATCAGTACCTCACTGATCCAAGTGAGCTGCATGGCTACAAGTGCCAGTGCCCAGCCAGGCCTTGAAGGCAGTAGGACCACTCTGCAGCAGAAGAATGCTTTTAAGCCAAAGGAAAGTGGCTGTGCAACCACAGTCTCTGTTTTCTCTCTTTACTTTGTATAGAGCATTTATGAAGTTATGATTTCTACCTGCTCGCTTGTACTAATAATTCCTTTAAGGACATCTCCTAATTTTAGTGACATAGCTTCTTAATTAGCTGAATTGGATCCACTCATTAGCTTCCAGAGCTTTAACACAGCTACTGAGGGTTGTTCCCCATGCTATTCCTTTGAAGCATAGTCTTTCAAAATAATTTTCTCTGTTATACAGTACCATGTGGCTACTAGCTTCAGAATTATTCAATATGTTTTTAAGTGTGAACTATGTATAAAGTGTGTATTTCTGGCATTCTGCAAATCTTATTTTTGTCTATCACCTGCATTATTCTTAAGCTCCCTGTGTCCTCTAGTGGCTCCCTATCACAATTGCATAAATTGGCAAACAAACACTTCTTTCCATTTTTGTATCTCAAAGCACTAACAAGAATAATTAGCTTTCCATCCTACAAATTTTATTCCTTTTTTACTAAATTTTACATTTAAAGTCATGTTTTATAGTTATTCCTCATAAGCATCAGCAGTATATGTGGCAGTACTGACAATTTTATGTGTAATTTTCTTGCACACACACCTTTGTCTATTGCCTAGTTATCTGTGGGCTTGCTGGAGATTTTAGCACCAATTATGAATTTTTAATTGTTATACAGGTCTTATCAGGTATTGTGCAGCATTTCCTTACATACAGAATATATGTACACACCTACATTCTTCTCTCATTTGGGCATGCCAAGTTTTTCCTTAGAACTCTAGAAGTCACTTCAGTCCATCCTAAGACAATATTTGTGTACAAACTACAGTACACAATTCACAAACACATAATTCACAAACATTCTAGAATAAAGATACATTAGGAACAAATGCAAATTTCACATGTAACTTTATTTGGGAATTTCTGAATTCCTGACTATATATTATCAAAGTGGAATCCAGTTCATTTACTGTTAACCATTTTAAGTTGTAAAAGCTGTAAGTTAGGGCAAGTAGGCTCCCACTCAAACCAACAGAATAATGGTACTTCTAAGAGGATGTCATTCTGTACTATTTACCTAGGAAAAAGGATTAATTGCTACTCTACAGGAGTACCTTCCACTTCACATGCACTAGAATACTTGTCCAGCTTTACATGGCTGCACTTAGCCAGGTAATCTCATCCTCAATACCCTTTTGAAACAAGGGACATGATTAATTATTTTAAGTGTAACAAACCAGTGAGACATGGATTATTAGATTTGGATGTAATTGACTGTGCTAGAATAGTGAAGAACCCTCCCATGTGGACTGAATAGAAGTATTTGTACATTTTCAGAAGCTGCTTCACAGTGACTGAAGTATTGTATACTTCCCAAAATGTAACTCTTGAAGGGAAGGAGGCACTCCTTTGAATTTGATGTTCTCTAAGTAAAAAAATCAGCCCATGGTTAGCACTCGAAGTGGAATTATTCTCATTCTAAGTAAAAAGAAGATACCAAATCTATAAGGGTCAGAAAATTGATTACTGAAAGGGAAGTTTTAGAGAAAAAAAAAAAAATGCTACCACGTATGCTTGCAATACTACACTTTCCTCTGTTCCCAAGATGTTTCAGGTCACCTCATTGATCAGAGGATAAAAATTGTTTTATGGTTTCAAGACCACTCCACTCTGAACCACTAAATCCATTTGATTAAATTATTGGTAAGAGACACTGAGTAAAAAAAAAGATGTCAACAACAACACTCCTTGGAAAAGACCTGAGGACTCCAATATTTATAAGACACAGTGAAATTTTGTGAGATTAAATTACACAACAGATAAGAACAAAACACAGAAGGACTGGAAAGAAAAGGCCTAAGGAAGCAACATTTAGTAAATTTTTTTCTTGACCAAATCTGATAAAAGGCTCCTTCTGTTTCAAAGTGCAATGTACTATGCAGTACTATTTACATCACTTTGAACAAGTTGATCCAGGCATTCAAGAAACTAATATTGAGCTAATCAGGAAGATTTGTTAACCAGCTAGTGAATAACATAGTACTTCGAACTTTAACACAAAATATTGTGTAGCATACTACCATAGCCATAGGCATGAGCAAAATTCAAACATATTAAAGCCAAAATGTTAATATTATCATGACTACAACAAGTAAAGACTAATCCAAATTTTAGTGGAAGTAGTTCCACTATGAGACTGTCATAACAATGGATCAGAGAATTATTGCACCACAGCAATGCTCAGGAGAGTTCATGATTCATTTGGCCAAATATTAGTCTTCCTGGCTTTTTTAGATAGCCAGTGAGTGCAATCAAAAAAATCTGGGAAAGGAAAAAGGGTGAGATAAAAACAGCAAAGAAAGTGTTCGAACTCACTCATGAGTGAGCCAAACTGACTGCCAGCTGGGCTCCTATGAATCACAATGCAGAGGATATAAAGGAGAATGATCACAATGTCCAAAGACACAAGCTGAATTTTCTGCATCAGTACAGACTTGCTGTGTGACCTCCAGCAAGTCACTTGGGTCCACATTCACAGAAGTATCTTGGAATCTATTTCAAGTGACACATAATTCAGTATTATTAAAGGTTTCACTACCCTATGAATCCAAACATGGCTGAATTCAATGATCTTAAAGGTCTTTCCCAAACTAAATGATTCTGGGATTCTTGGTCTTAGCCTTGAACGGGGATAATAGATCTTTGCCATCTGACAAGAATGTGTCAGTGATAGTAAATTGAGGATCATGAGACAGTCATGATCTGTGCTAGTGAGGATTAGGGGAGTATGAAAAAGAAACTTTTTCATCATTAAACTGCCTCACTTCATAGCCTGAATATTTTTACTACATACATCTGTAGGAAGCTAGACATATGGAGGAGGTAAAATAGGCCATGCTTTTAATTGTCTGAGTAAAAATGCACTGATTTCATATCCAACCTCACAATTTTAGATATTATTAAAAATCCTTCTTCCTACCTTCTGCCTACCTTCAGGGTATCTGTAGAGTGAACAATCAAGTCTTTCTGCCATTATTCATGTGATTTTGTTCTGATATTGAAAGCTATGGTTTTTGTCAAAGAAAATTTTCTCATAGATGTGGGAGAAAGAGATTTCTTTGTTTTGTCTTGTTTGATTTAGTACACTCATGGAGTAGGTTCTGTACTGAGGACAAAAGAAGTCTTTTAGGTCTTTTGGTGCAGAGATTTTACATACTCTTTAACCACTTCCTGGCCTTAAAATGCTGTATGCTTTCAGAAGCCTGGTCAATCACTTCATTTTACAGGCTTTGGACAACAAAATTTCTTATAGCGTTTGAATATATGGCAGATTGTTGGTAAACAGTGCTTGATCTTTCTTCTAATTAAAATTGATGGAAATATTATAAAAATTTGTAGAGCATGTCAAAACCAAATGGCACTGGATTGATTTTTAATCCCAGTAAAAATACCAGCATTTTGTGGGGTTTTTTTGCTTAAAAGCAGTTTTACCTGTGTGGTTAGGAGGCTGATAGTAATGTTGATTAAGGTAAGAACATTGTTTCCAAACTATGTGTTTAAATGTTCTTCACATCCCTAGGCAAGTACACAAAAAGGGATGTAAAGAAAAATCATGTCAGTTTTGGAACTTATATTGCATCTTAATAAGAACATACTTTTAAAATTTATAGAATAGAGTCTTTCTGTATGGTATGATGTGTTCTGGTATTTACTTGCCAGAAAGCAAATACATCAGTAATGTTTACTGGGCAATATTAGCTATAGTATTATTTAAATTATCTGAACTAAGCTGATTGTTCATAAGAAAATTTGACATTTTTGCATGGAAATGTTCCAGAACTGACTTAATCAAAACAGATTCTGCTTTGTGTGTGTTTAACTGAGAGATTAACTTACAAGTAAATGCTGAAAATAATATTTACAAATTTTCATTGATTGTTATGAATTATGCATCCTGAAATGTACATGAGTATGTTTCAAGTTAAAATGTATATTTATTATATTGCTTTTTAAAACAATTGTCAAATTATTATATGGATTAAAATAGGTAGAAGTACAATAAAACATATACATAAATGTTTTCTATACTTAGAAGTGATTTTTAAAATAATGACAAGGGTTTGTAGAAACAGGGGGGAATTCAGAACTGATGATCAAAACTAGACAAGAGCAGATGTCATTGGACAACTTCCCATTATTTACTGTCCTGCTTTGTCAAGAAGCAACAACTGCCCTCTGCATTTTTGTCCTCATTGCCTGGTCCTCATAACCCTGTGTGGTTTTCAGAAGAGGAAAATATTTATCACTTTGCTCCAGCTCAGGTGGCGATACCAGGTGGTCCTATGCAAACTGGTCCCTTGATATTAAGATGCATAAATGCTCACATGGACTGGTCTCACAAAACACATCATATTTCAGTGTCTTTCTCATTCCACTTATCCTGTAAAGTATTGGAACTACTCTGGAAACAAATAATACAAACCTGTGGAGACATTGCCCACAATTACAAGTGGAAAATGCACTGTATGCTCTTTATATACTGCACTGTGTACTCTCTATATACTGCCACTTTCCATTGTCATCATTGATTTGCACAGCACGGGTTTATGCCAAGATGCTTCTTAAACCACTTCTAAATTTCCCTGTGATATTGATCAGGCACAACTCCTGTTCTATTTAGATCATCCTTAATTTAGAACTGCCTACATGACTGACAGCTAACAAGTAAAAACCAAGGCTTCCAAGTGACCAGAGACAAAACAATGAATATTGTTAAAATTTTGGCATTTGTAAGCCACATCTTGAAGGAAAATATGTTTTGTACTTCTTTTTCTAAAGTCTATTTAGTAACAAAAGTTACATTCTTCAAGACATTTTTTTTATTTCTTACCACACTGTATGTTGAATCCCTTGGGACATCACAAAACCATTTCTTCAGATTGTAATTTGTGCATGGACATGGGAATTGAGTATTATTTTTGTTTAGTTCCTTTTCTCCTGTGTGGCATTGCATCTTCCACAGCATTTTATCTACAACAGAAATCAAATAAAAACAAGAAACTTGGATCTAGAAACTTCAATATGGACCAAATTCAGAGAATATTTATTTATTCCTTTGTTCCTTTTAATTGGCCAAAATTCTCCCCTCTGAGATCTTTAGCAATATCCTTTTTCCAACTCATTTTAGTAGCAATTGATCTGTCTTCAACATGTAGCTCAAACTTGGAGGACAATGCAAACCCTATGCAGTGTTCAAATAATTATCAGCTAGCTCTTCCCAATAACCTACTTCAATACCAGAAAAACAAAAGCAAACTAAACTATGAAAAAGATTGGAGAATGGAATTCTTTTCATATAGAAAATTCCAGGAAATTCTCATTCTGAATCAGGATGAATCTTCAGAAATACTTGAATTACTTTGTGGGATGAAAATCTCCCATATTTTAGCTCAGAGATGCTGAAATCAACATGTCATTTTCATGTTTTAAAGGGTCAATTCAAGATCTACTGCTTCTAAATTTTGAAAATTAGATAACTTGGCAAAAGGTGTCCTTTCCCTGTATAGATATTCCATTTCAACAACTCCATGGTTTTAGTTAAAATAGTCACCATCTTTAAGCAGTTCATTAAATATCACCAATAATATATAAAATACTATTAATGGTCTTCATGTTTTTTATCTTTGTGCTGGCAAATGCCAATGATTCCAGTAGCTGGGCAGGTGGTGAGTCTGTGCTCCTACCACACTCCAATAAAACTGCAGTCAAGAACACCAGCACACAGTCTAGCTGCACCATTGACATAATGGGGTCACCACTAATCACTTGAGAAATCATGAATGCAATGAATGGATCTTCAAAGAACAGATTTTAAAAATACATTGCAAATGCATTTGTAATCTTGAGACTAGACCTATATGCTGTGTGAGTTATCTGGAATCATCAATTATCTTCAGTACTCATTAAAAATAATGTAACTCAGCCCTGGAAGAAGTCATATTAAGGGATCCATAGAAGCATTTTAAACCATATTAAGCTGTTAAACTGTAGTGTTTGTAATTAAAAGCTCATAATACAGAATAAATTTCAAAGGTGGATAACAGATCACTGGTCAAAAACATTCCTAACTACTTCCAATGTAATTGACACCATCCAAATGTTTTAAAAGACTTCTCTAAAGAAGTAAACGAATTACCTGCTGCCAGGCCACAGGAAATATTTTGAGTAATACCTAAGTATGTCTATTGAAAGTAATAATTTGCAAGCTCATTTTAGGCTTCAAGCACTATTTCTGAGAGTCTCAGTGCAAAACCTATTCAAATTTTCTCACAGGAGGAGCTCTATTTTGACCTCATAACATCTCTGCTTGGTTCACATCAGCCTTGAGACCTAAGCAGATCAAGTGTTTTATGGACTCTAGTACTGTAAAAATACCAGGACTTCCATAAACTTTTTCAGCTGCAGGAATTTTTTCAGGTTTCAGTGACCAGAACCCTCTGTTCCTACATGAAATGAGAAGATCTTCAAGAGCTTAATGACCCATATAACAGCAAGGAATCTGCCAACACACATCAGATAATAGCAGCAGATCTTGAAAAATTAATCCTTTACTAAATGAGATTTTTTTAATAAGTTCTGATTGATATACACATTTCTGGTGAATGCAGTATTTTTAGAGGTCATATTCTGTGGGGGTTTTCCCTCACATCATGCTGCATAGCACTCAGAATGTTCCACACAGATTCCTGCTCAGTCAGACTCTTATTCCTGTATTCAGAAATAAAATCATCAATTCTGTTGTTCCATTGATTTTGAACCTGTTAATAAATATTTATAGCACTTGATAGATGCATATTGATAAGGGTGTGGATGGAGACTACAATCCTTGATCTTTTATTGATTTTCAGGCTTCTTCAAAGATTACTTGCAAGCAGCAGCACTCTAATCAATTTGCCAAACATGAACCAAGACACCTCATAGCCATTGCACTCATAGGAAAATTGTAATGCCAAAGGGAAGGATAAATGAAGCAACCAAATCCCATACACAGCACAAGATGATTTGCCCAACTGGAGCCAGGAGGGCTAGGAAACACTTTAGTTCCACCTGATCTGTCCTGAAATACTAAATCCTACTTCTCATACTTACTTTTAATAAGCACAGTGCCATATAATAATAAGCAGAAACCAAAAATTCTGGACCTACTGTGACACAAACTTTTGTAAGTCCCACAGAACCTGGCCAGGACATGTTTTACCATAGGCTGGGGGAATGATCAGCTCATATTTGCCCTAGATTATGCATCTTTGCTGAGACTGATAAAATACACCTTCTACAGTAAGTGAAATGGGCAAGCTCATCATAAAGAGTCTGACTGGAGAGACTGTAGCAGGGAATGTATGCAGAGGAGTAATCCTAGGCCACTAAAAGGTTTCATTACAAAGAAATTAAAGAATTAAAATCTCCAACTCATTTTCCTTGCTATAGCCATCCTAAGAAGAAAACTCAAAAGCTTTCACAGTTAATGATGATGTAAGCATCATTATACTTCAGCAACACTTAATAAAGGTTGAGATCAAGTGTAATAGTTGTGTAGTAACAGTTGATATAAAATAAGTGTAATAACAGTTGATATAAAATAAATTTAACTTCAATTTTTCAATCAATTTTTCTAGCACAAATAGCTGACTCCAGAATGCATTGTTCCTGACAGTTTAAATCTTTCAAAATATAAAACCATTATATAAAACAGGTATGATTCCATCATTAGAAATCAACATTTGATGAAGAAATTTGATTATACAGAAGGACTAAAAGTAATTTATTTGTGCTGTACTCTGCCTGAATAGCAGCAGCCTTTGGAGAACCACATGAACCTTTTGAAAACACTGTCACTGGAACCGTAACTTTTGAAATTACAGAATAGAAAAGTGGCCAAGCTGGTATTGATTCAGTACAGATTACCTTCCACATAACACTGTGAGAACTACTCAAGCTATTGCAGTTGTTATATGTAGGAAAATAAATGACTGGATGAAGTTTCAGAGTGGAATAGTTACTAGAGACAACAGCTATGTAGGTATTTATTGTGGTTTGCTGTTGTTCCAATTGAAGGTACATGTTCCTTAGATTAGGTCTCTGCTTGTACCTAAAATACAAGTTCAAGCAATAAAGTTAATCATTCATTGGTATATTTTGTCTGCTATGATACCAGTAAGTCCTACTATCAATTGCACAGGGGACAACTGCTGTCACCTTCTAACAGACACAGCTCAGCATCTAATACTTCTTCCCATGCCTGCAGATACCCAGGACAGAAGGACTTCCTGGGTAATCCCTCAACAAGAAATAAAGCTGTCCCTTCCACTGCTGATTCCACATTCCTGAATAGGAAGGGTGTGGTTTTTTTGTAGGGGAGAAATTGGAAATATATTTCCATGCACTGCCATTTACTATATTGAACCATGCTGAATTCCTCAAATTATGTTTTTCACATGTTTTAGTATTCCTGGTCAACGTAGTAAGCTTCAATCAAATTCACATGTTTTAGTATTCCTGGTCAAAGTAGTAAGCTTCAATCAAATGGCAATGCAGTTTACAGTGAGAACTGACTATTAGACATGTTTTAATTAATTGCACCAACAAACTTTAAGTTATCAGCAGTTCCACATAATTTATTTACATATTTCTTCTTTCATCATTATTAGCACCAGTATTGCCATCTGCATTACAAACACCAGGATTTGAAAACTCATATACTGAAAAAATGCACAAAGCCAAGCTATGTATAAACATTATTTTGAATAAGTGAGCAATAGAGTAAAAAATTCCAGAACCTCGTGTACAATCCTTCATGACTATTATTTACAGTGATTTCAACAAAAATAAGAATTTATTTTCCTGGAAACCTGTGCAAAGTGACATCATAGTCTAAGAAGCAGATTTCAAGCAAAGAACAACTCACTGTGATGGGCTTAAAGCTACAGCCATAACTGTCTTGGAAGTGAAGAACAAAAACTGTTTTTAAGTGGCTGTGCTTCACTGAAGAAAATTTTTATTTCTTTATTTCCTGTATGAAAGACAATGGTACCTAAGTCCCATGCTTATTTAAGAACTCCTTTGATCTATAAGATGCAAAATAAAAAGCTGATTTTGCTTATTTCCAGTGAAAACCAATTTTCACCCACAGTATTTAGATACTGTGATAGTAGATGGTTCCATGGAAGTTGGAAATGACACACATGTTTTTCTTCCATCACCTAACAAATTGTCAGGTACACACTACATGCCTAGGCAGTAGCAGGGATGAAGAAGGAAGAAGTTTCCAGGTTGTAGCACCTGGGCTTTGCTCTTTGCTGTGCAAATTCATATTTGTAGTGCTTAACAAACTAATCAGTAGCACAGTTCTCTGCTTCAGCCTTCACACAGTCTAAAACAGATCTCTCAAAAAAGGTGACAATAAACAAAATATGAAGGGAAAATGGTGTCAAAATGATAATAAGAATGTATAGTTACAATGCAATTTATCAGAAATAAAAGTGTTATTCCCTTAAAAAGTAGGAATTTTATATAAACACAGAGTCTTCAGTTTAGTCTACATAGGTAACAGCTTTTTAATCATACTTTGATGTTTCAATATTGTAGCCATACTGTACCTATCTTTGCCTTCAAGTTTCAATATTCTGGACCAGGCTTTTGTTTGTCTTCAACATATACTAAGTCTTTAAAAAACATCTATGCTAATAAATACAGTGGTTAAAATCTTTTCTGCATTAAACTGCAAGTATTTGGTCATTGAAAACTTTCATGCAGTGATATGGAAAGATCTTCAGTGGTATTGAGAGTTCATTTGAGCCGGGACTTTAGATAAATATGTCTTGCTATCAACAAATTTGAATGTGGAAATCACACCAAGACAGGAGCATATTTTTCATGCACACACAATTCTCTTTCACTTTACAAGAAAGTTGGAGGTTTATTTCCACGTACTGTAACCAGCAGACATTTGATTTCCACAACACTCCAAGGACTCCCATGGCTGATGTAACAGTAAAAATAGACCCAATGACAAGCTTTATACAAGAAAGATATGTCACGGGCTAGTTCTTGATGGAAGAAACTGTAACACAGTTTGTTTGTACTGTTACTTATTTTCCTTTTATTTTTATGAGATTTCCACTTATACAACTTATTCCAGAAAAATATCTTTGCAACACCATTACAGAAAGGATGGAAATAACAGAATTATAAAAGGGTCTCCTTCTTCTTCTTCTTCTTCTTCTTCTTCTTCTTCTTCTTCTTCTTCTTCTTCTTCTTCTTCTTCTTCTTCTTCTTCCCTATATTCACAGAAAGAAAAAGAAAGATTTTCATAAATTTAGGCAACAGTAATTGCATATGAGATGTAAACAGAACATTCTCAATTGAACAATGTGAATCAATGACAAGGAAATCAGTGAACAATTGCAGTTCATCAAGTTTACAGATTTTTTTTCTGTTTGCCAAGGATTATGAACACATGCAGATCCTACAGGGAGACAGAAATGTATTTCTCAATAAATTAAAGATTCAGTGCTGTCCTCCCTCTTTGCGACTGGACACTTTCTCCTCTGCATTCCAACCATCTGTGCATAGATATGGAAAGTAGCAGTGCTTTCATTACTTCCAGCCCACCTGGAAGTAATGGAAGTAATGAAAGTAATGAAGTTTTCTCCCAGAATTACTGCCTTGGATGGTTCCTATGCCATTAGTTTGGAACTGACACTTAACACAGCCAAGGCACTCTGCTCTTTAAGAGCACATCTATTGTTATGTGACCCAAAACTTACTTTTCTTAGAAAAAAAATTTAAAAATTGATAGACACTATGGGAAAAAGGAAGATCCATGTGTAAAGGCCATACTCTTATTCATCCAACCCAAATCCTCACCTAAAGGATCTATCATCTCATCAAATGCAGGTCAAATGCAGTCTGGTAAATGATATCAAGAAAATATGAATAGAGATGATTTATTTCTCAGTGATTCATCTACAAGGTGCATATAAGTACATCAAGAGAAAGAAACAAATCAATTGCATAAATTATAACAATATCTAAATTGTAGATATAGTAATATGTTTTCTCCTGTTTTGATAATCATACCACATAATGATGGAAAACATACTCCAGAGGGAAAAAAAAAAAAAAAAAAAAAATCCTTACAACCATGCAGCTCAATCCAATACTGCCACCTTGTGAAAAAAAGTACATTATGTCTTCTGTCGATTACACAGAGCCATACAACCATAAAATGGTTTGGGTTGGAAGGGACATTAGAGACCCTCTACTTCCAACACCCCTGCCATGGGCAGGATCACCTGCCACTCAACCAGGTTGCTTAAATCTGCTTCCATCCTGGATTTGAACACTTCCAGGGATCGGGCATTTTCATTCTGCAATCATTTAAAACAAAAGAATAATTCTATTTATACTGAGAAAAAAAACACTGAAGAAATCGTTTCTGTCAAATAAAAGCCACAAACTAAAAGCCAAAAGCAGAGCCTGATGGAAAGGGGGGCAGGGGAAGGGAAGGATTGTTTTTTTAATTAAGAACATCTAAAAAAATTTAAAGCTGCTAAATAAGAGAAAGAAAACAGATTTCGTGCTAAGAAAATTCCACTGAAGATATTTAAATAGCAGTTCTGTATTTGGTTTTTATCTCTTATTTTCATTTTTTTGTTTTCAATTTTGAATCACAGCTGAAAGTATAATCATATATTCAGTTCATTATGAAAAAAATATAAGTACTCTTGTAAATCACAATGGAACTTTGTTTCTCCAGATAATATTTTATAAATTTTAAGAGTATTTTCAGATATATGGAACAAAAAATTAACAGCAGCAGTAGGAGCATCAAGATGCTGTATAGTCTCCTTTGCCTCTGTTTCGCTGTACACACACATTTTTGTTCTGTTTTGCTTTTGGTTTTGGTCTTTTTTACTTTAAGTTGCTAAAGACATTTGGAAGCAGCATGTATTTTGGAAGATTTATATGGCAAGATTTATGTAGCCTGGCATACATTTGTTCTTCTATTCTCAGTGCACTTACTAAATAGTAAGAATACCAGCTGAAACAAAGAGATGACAAATGTGAAGCTTCTGCAGTCAAAATTTGTCTTGCATTAACAACTTATTTTAGATAGAAAACACATTACATGTGTATAAAATTACATTTTTTAGAAGAAAATATTCAGCAAACACAAGCTTAGCCTGCCCTGTCAAGATCCTCAATGCCTGGATTATAAAACTTCTGCTGGATTTCAGCACAAAGAGAGCTGTAGTAAGTTTCTCAAACAGCTCTGCAGTGGAGTGGAGTCAATAATGGGGTCAACAATGCACCTTGTAAAACCATAGACTGGGAGAGGCAACAGGCTTTTCAATTTCCCTGGAGAAGTTTCACTACCTTTGAGAGTCATTGAACTTTTACTTGGTTTCCAAAAATAGAATGTATCAAAACAGTGGTGTGATGCAATTTTTTTAGGAAAAAACTCCTGAAGAGTTATATATTCAACATGAAAACTGGAATCTGCAATAGCTCTCTTTTGTTACCTATGTGGTTTCAAAGATTTATTCTGAGAAATTTTAATAATAATTCAGTTCATCCTAAAATATTTACCTAAAAATTAAAAATGTTATCCTTATAAATTAACTTACATTTTATATTGCATTGTTTCTACGCAAGAAAATCTTTACCAGTATTGAATATTTCCATCCTACCTTACAGAGAATGGTCAATCGATGATATATTTCTTCCTGAAGTCCAGCATAACCACATCCTTAGAACAGAGAAGTTTTCTTATGTTGGTTAGCCCTGACTTTCTGGATACAGGCAACAGGTTTTAGAAATTTTCAGTTCATTTTGATGCACTTCCTGTCATTCCATGCCATGCAATTGCTTTCCCTTCATTTCCAAATTCGTGAAATGAAGAATTTTAGCTACAGCACAGCTCTGTTCACTCTACAGTTTTGGAATCAGCGCCAACATTGGTGATGGGGATCTCAGCAGCAGCAAGCAGCTCCACTCAGGGTTGGTGTGAGGGTTCAGAGAGCTGCAGAGCCTACAGCTGCAGGGACACTGGCAATCCAAAAGGCATTGCAAGGGCATCAGGGCACGGGCCACAGCTGATAAATCCACACCTTTCAATCTGTGTAACCTGTGGCAGTGAGGACGTCTGCACAGTCCCAAGGTGTCACTGGGATCAGGGTTAGGGTTAGTGTTGAGTGAGTCAAAGAGCCTACAGCTCCAGGAGCACAAGGGCTGGAAATGGCCTGCCAAGGCAACCCCAGCATGGCCCCAACATTGCTGCTCCTGCTTCTTTCTAAAATCAAGCACCCATGGGGACTGGGACTTTAGGGTTAGTCTGAGGGTTAGGGCAGTGTTTAGGGTGAGGATTAGGGTTGAGTGAGTCAAAGAGCCTACAGCTCCAGGAACAATATGGCTGTAACAGGAATGGCAAGGGGGTCCCAGTAGGCCCTCAGTATTGACCAACCAATATGGATGGGGGTTTTATTGTTAGGGTTAGTGTTGTGGTTATGTTTAGGGTTAGGGTTAGGGTTAGGTCAAGGGTAAGAGTTAGTGTGAAGTTTTGCCTTAGGGTTGAGTAAGTAGTGATTTGACAATTTTTCATTTCATTTGATTAAATTAAATCTTTCTATGATTTCTATGAAATGTCTCTTCTATTTGCAAATTTTTTTGCTAAGACAGGATATAGTTTTTATTCAGTATGTGCACAGCATAACTCCACTACAAAAGAAGCATTAAGTGTGCATTCAATCAGTGAATAAAGAGTTGATCACGGTGAAAAGTTCAGCAGTGATATGATTATATAAAAGGGTGGATTTCAAACGGATACATTTCCATTTTTTAATATTTATTATCATGCTTATCCATAACACTGGTGAGAAAACTGTAAATAGTTGCCCTTGAAGCAAATATTTTTTGTTCAATGCTCCTAAAACATTTAAAAAGCTTATTCTAAAGACAGCAGATGGGAAAACCCCTACCATTTTTGGCAGATCCTTCCCATTGCTCCCAAATTGCACATTTTCTATGGAAAACCTAAACTTATCTTTTAGCTCTTAATTTTTATTATGCCTACTTTTGCGTCTTGGTATTCCTCATCAGACTCAGGGTTAGATGTGCTCCCTATAAACACACAAAAACATTATCTGCACCCTGCCTGATCTATGGAATTTTTCCTTGACTGAATTCTATTTAGTCTCTAATTGTCCAACTGGACATTTTCTCCAGCTTTCAATAACCAGCAAGGGACTTTTACACAGGCAGGCAGTGGTAGGACAAAGGGGACAGGTTTTAAACTAGAAAAGGGCAGATTTAGGTTAAATGCTACAAAGACAATCTTTACACCACAGAGGGTGGTGAGGCTTGAAAACAGGTTGCCCAGAGAAGCTGTGGGTGCCCCATCCCTGTGTTCAAGGCCAGGCTGGATGGGGCACTGAGAAACCTGGTCTAATGAAAGTTGTCCCTGCCCATGGCAGGTCGTTTGGAAGAAATGATGTCGAAGGTTCTGTCTAACCCAAACCATTCTATGACTATGAATTAGTATTTACCTTTCTCTCACATTTTTTTTTTAACTCCTATTATTTGCTCCGTACCTGTAGCACTGGCAGGGCCATGCTGAGCCACTGGTCTCCCTGCACCTGTGAGGCCGTGCCAGGCTGGCCATGCCATAGTCCAGTGCCCCAAAATGGCCCCAGTGCCAGCCAGCCCTTCTGAGCCAGCCCCAACATGGGAAGACAGAAGGGATGTCGGGTCTGTTTTCATAAAACACCTTTACTGTGGCTTTAGTATGCTTTTATTTATATTTTTTCCCGCTTAATTGGCTCCTGCAATTTATTGTGAACACTGAATTCCAGTCTATGACTTCAAAAAAACCCCAAACACAAACCGAAAACCAAAATAAAAATACCCTCAAAAACAACAACAACAAATAACCCCCCAAAACAAACAAACAAATCCCAAACCCCAATATTAAAGAAAAAAGCCCAAACAAACAAAACCGCGAAAAAGGTGCTGCGAGGTTCTCCTCCTTACGCTGGGGGGCGCTGCCTAACGCCCCTAGAACGCGAAACGGCAGCTCCTGGCGAAGTCTGGCTCCTCTCGCTGCCCGTCCGAACCGCTGTTTCCCGTTGCCGTGGTGACGCTCCCGCGGTAGCAGCGCGGCGCGGGGCTCTCGTCCACCCCGTGGAGCTCCCCACCGTCCGCTGTTGGCGGATGCGGAATTTCAGGGCGGAGGGGCGGCCGGTCTCCAGAGGTGTCCAGAAAGGCGGAGGCTCCGTGAGGAGCTTGACCGAACGACGGGTGAGTGGGTACATGAAGTAGACGGGGGGGACCGGAGGACTGCGGGCACTCTGAGAGCTGGACTACAACTCCCAGCATGCAAAGTGGCAGAGCCGCTCGCTTGTCAGGAGGCGGCGGTGGGCGGTGCTGCCCCCCGGGCGCGGTGCCTTTCGGGAGATGTAGTTTTCTCTCAGCCGCGATCTGGTGTTCGCCTTCCCGGCAGGAATGCACTCCGTGTGCCTGGTGTCCCGCTGCAGGAGCCGAGCTCACTGCTTCCCATTCCCTTCATTGCAGGGGGCAACGGGTTGCGAAAGGGGTAGGAGGGCCGTTTCCCCCTTCTTACATCCATCCACAAGTTTTTACTTCTATGGGTTACATAATTTCTCACCATTTCTCTCTCATCATCTCATAATTTCTGTGTATCGTTAAAACTTTCTATATTCTTAGCGTTATTTTGAGGACTCTGTTTTGGTTCATACTGCGTTGAAAGGTATTACTTTTTTTTGTGTAGCTTTCAAAACAGATAAGACCCTGTGGGAAGAAGAATGTCGGAAGATATTGAAGGAATTGAAAGAGAAGTAGAAATTGAATTAGGCAGAATCAGTGTTTCTTCGTTTGGAACAGATGATCCTGAGCCTGACACAGAGGTATCAGAGGAAGCCTTGAGTGACAGTGAGACAGTAAGTATTCAGTGAGCTGAGCACTCAGTGTATCCAGCCAGTGTTCAGTGCGCTAAAACGGCTCCGTTTGATGCGTGAACGTTTCCCCGACACACCTAACGTGAGGCTGTGATCTGAGCAGTAGTCTTGGTAGTATTGCTTAATGAAAAATGTAACAGGACAATAAGAGAGATGGATATCAGCATTCTGCTTGAGAAGATCACACCTGGAGATTTTGTTTTCTAATCCTCTGAAGCTGGAAGTTTGATGAGGTAGATTAAATCTGGATGAATAAACCCAGATTCTTCACTGCAATCTGTATTTTAATCTTACAAGAGACTGATTTAGGAGATTCCTTATAAGATTTCCAGATACTAATTGCATATAAATAGGTTCTTCAAGTCCTCTTTCTTGTATGACTTCTTTTTTTTGGGAAGTGGCTTTCCTCTGAATTAAAATCAGTTATTTGGGTCCTTTTCTGCCATTTTAATCTTGCAGATTCATAGCATAGGGATTGGTTTGTAGGATATTAGGGTGGATAATATTGATCATAAATCATGTATCATATGATGTAGACAAAGGCATCAGTGATAAGTGTGTAAGAACTCACATACTGAACATCAGCAATGTCTACCACGATTTGCACATCTGAGTGAAGGCAGACCATTTTCCCAAAATATTGACATTCAAAGCAGTCTTTTGAATAGAAAGTT